GGGAGAGGGAAAGGTAGAGGGAGAGGGAGAGGGAGAAGGAGAGGGAGAGGGAGAGGGAGAGGGAGAGGGAGAGGTAGAGGGAGAGGGAAAGGTAGAGGGAGAGGGAGAGGGAGAGGGAGAGGGAGAGGGAGAGGGAGAGGGAGAGGGAGAGGGAGAGGGAAAGGTAGAGGGAGAGGGAAAGGTAGAGGGAGAGGGAGAGGGAGAGGGAAAGGTAGAGGGAGACGGAGAGGGAGAGGGAGTGGAAGGTAGAGGAAGAGGGAGAGGGAGAGGGAGAGGGAAAGGTAGAGGGAGAGGGAGAGGGAGAGGGAGAGGGAAAGGTAGAGGGAGAGGGAGAGGGAGAGGGAGAGGGAAAGGTAGAGGGAGAGGGAGAGGGAGAGGGAGAGGGAAAGGTAGAGGGAGAGGGAGAGGGAAAGGTAGAGGAAGAGGGAGAGGGAGAGGGAAAGGTAGAGGGAGAGGGAGAGGGAGAGGGAGAGGGAGAGGGAGAGGGAAAGGTAGAGGGAGAGGGAGAGGGAGAGGGAAAGGTAGAGGGAGAGGGAGAGGGAGAGGGAGAGGGAAAGGTAGAGGAAGAGGGAGAGGGAGAAGGAAAGGTAGAGGGAGAGGGAAAGGTAGAGGGAGAGGGAGAGGGAGAGGGAGAGGGAGAGGGAGAGGGAAAGGTAGAGGAAGAGGGAGAGGGAGAGGGAAAGGTAGAGGGAGAGGGAGAGGGAGAGGGAGAGGGAAAGGTAGAGGGAGAGGGAGAGGGAGAGGGAGAGGGAAAGGTAGAGGGAGAGGGAGAGGGAGAGGGAGAGGGAAAGGTAGAGGAAGAGGGAGAGGGAGAAGGAAAGGTAGAGGGAGAGGGAAAGGTTAGAGGGAGAGGGAGAGGGAGAGGGAGAGGGAGAGGGAGAGGGAAAGGTAGAGGGAGAGGGAAAGGTAAAGGGAGAGGGAAAGGTTAAGGGAGAGGTAGAGGGAGAGGGAGAGGGAGAGGGAGAGGGAAAGGTAGAGGGAGAGGGAAAGGTAGAGGGAGAGGGAGAGGGAGAGGGAAAGGTAGAGGGAGAGGGAGAGGGAGAGGGAGAGGGAAAGGTAGAGGGAGAGGGAGAGGGAGAGGGAGAGGGAGAGGGAAAGGTAGAGGAAGAGGGAGAGGGAGAGGGAAAGGTAGAGGGAGAGGGAAAGGTAGAGGGAGAGGGAGAGGGAGAGGGAGAGGGAGAGGGAGAGGGAGAGGGAAAGGTAGAGGGAGAGGGAAAGGTAAAGGGAGAGGGAAAGGTAGAGGGAGAGGGAGAGGGAGAGGGAGAGGGAGAGGGAGAGGGAGAGGGAGAGGGAAAGGTAGAGGGAGAGGGAAAGGTAGAGGGAGAGGGAGAGGGAGAGGGAAAGGGAGAGGGAGAGGGAAAGGTAGAGGGAGAGGGAGAGGGAGAGGGAGAGGGAGAGGGAGAGGGAGAGGGAAAGGTAGAGGGAGAGGGAAAGGTAGAGGGAAAGGTAGAGGGAGAGGGAGAGGGAGAGGGAGAGGGAGAGGGAGAGGGAGAGGGAGAGGGAAAGGTAGAGGGAGAGGAAAAGGTAGAGGGAAAGGTAGAGGGAGAGGGAGAGGGAGAGGGAAAGGTAGAGGGAGAGGGAGAGGGAGAGGGAGAGGGAGAGGGAGAGGGAAAGGTAGAGGGAAAGGTAGAGGGAGAGGGAAAGGTAGAGGGAGAGGGAGAGGGAGAGGGAGAGGGAGAGGGAGAGGGAGAGGGAGAGGGAAAGGTAGAGGGAGAGGGAAAGGTAGAGGGAGAGGGAGAGGGAGAGGGAGAGGGAGAGGGAGAGGGAAAGGTAGAGGGAGAGGGAGAGGGAGAGGAAGAGGGAGAGGGAAAGGTAGAGGGAGAGGGAGAGGGAAAGGTAGAGGGAGAGGGAAAGGTAGAGGGAGAGGGAGAGGGAGAGGGAAAGGTAGAGGGAGAGGGAAAGGTAGAGGGAGAGGGAGAGGGAGAGGGAGAGGGAGAGGGAAAGGGAAAGGAAGAGGGAGAGGGAGAGGGATAGGGGAAGGGAGAGGGAGAGGGAGAGGGATAGGGAAAGGGAGAGGGAAAGGTAGAGGGATAGGGGAAGGGAGAGGGAGAGGGAGAGGGAGAGGGAGAGGGAAAGGTAGAGGGAGAGGGAGAGGGAGAGGGAAAGGTAGAGGGAGAGGGAGAGGGAGAGGGAAAGGTAGAGGGAGAGGGAGAGGGAGAGGGAGAGGAAAGGTAGAGGGAGAGGGAAAGGTAGAGGAAGAGGGAGAGGAAAGGTAGAGGGAGAGGGAAAGGTAGAGGGAGAGGGAGAGGGAGAGGGAAAGGTAGAGGGAGAGGGAGAGGGAGAGGGAGAGGGAAAGGTAGAGGGAGAGGGAGAGGGAGAGGGAGAGGGAAAGGTAGAGGGAGAGGGAAAGGTAGAGGGAGAGGGAGAGGGAAAGGTAGAGGAAGAGGGAGAGGGAGAGGGAGAGGGAGAGGGAGAGGGAAAGGTAGAGGGAGAGGGAGAGGAGAGGAGGTAGAGGGAAAGTAGAGGAGAGGGAGAGGGAAAGGGAGAGGGAGAGGGAGAG